ATCTAGACTTGATTAGAACAGAATAGAAAATCTAATACTTTGGCCACCTAATGAGAAGGAAGAACTCACTAGAGAAGAGCCTAATCCTGTGTAAGATTGAGAGCAAAAGAAGAATGGAATGACAGAGAATGAGGTGGCTGTATGGAGTCACAGAAGCAGTAGGCGTGAGCTTAAATGGACTCCAGAGGATGGTAGAGAACAGGAAGGCCAGGAGGATCGCGATGGGTCAGACACAACTTCGCAACTAACAACAGAGTATAATATACCCAGCCACTGAATACTTCAAATGCAAAACACCAATTTTATTATGAAAATTTATATGGCCTCCCAACTCACTCTCTGTGACTGCAGATGGCTTACAAAAACATAAAAGCCAATACAAAAACAGTAACCCCAAAGATAGTCCATTCTCATGAATCATTGAACTTATATCAATATATCAAAAATTTAATGCCCCAATTTTACATTATTTCAAATACCTACATATGTTCAGCTAGACCCTTGTAACCTCCCAAATGGACTACAGTAATATGCTCTACATGGGGCTGCCCTTGAAGAACCTTGAAGTATCCAGAATCTTCACTTGGTGCAAAATGCAGCAGTGCAGGCAGTTTGTATATTTATACTTTGCTTATCATGCTATATTGGTTGTCAGTCTGCTTCCAGGTCCAATTCAAGGTGCTGGTTTTAACCTTTAAAGCTTTTCATAGCATGGGACAAGGTTATCTTAGGGACCACCTCGCCCCAATTACATATGCCCATCCTATCAACACTGGCAGAAGATGTATGCTGCAGGCCCTATTTATTAGGGAATAATGTTTGGTAGGTTGAGGAGGTATATCTTCGCTACAGTGATGCCCCTCTTATGGAACTCTCTCCCGACCCCCCCCCCCCCCCCAAAGTGAGGTCAGCTCCATCCCTATTTACTTTCTGAAGGCGGATAAGAAGCAAAGCATCTTCAAAGAAAAACCAGAAAGTCTAGTTGCCTCTTGAAAAAGCATCTTTGGGAGAACCATGATCACCATGGATGTCAGAATCTCCACAGTCGTTAATTTTGGGTCCTCCATCAGAGGCCAAGAGAGTTTGACGGTTCTGTACCACATCTTAGCTGTTCTTAGCATTACATTCTTCTGGACATAGAGCTCTGATTTTGTTCCTTGGATCTGTTGGAGCCACCCTCCTGGAAGGTTCAACCCAAATGTTCCTACCACCACTGGGACACTTTCCATACCCTCACATGACCACACACAGACACACACACAGAATTTACTTAATGTCTGTTGCTGATAAGGAAGGACACTTCCCATGTTGTTATGAACATCTGACTATAAAAGTGGAATCTGTTAAACGATAAAATTCATTTGCCGTTCGTATATAAGTGAATTCTCTCGAGACTATTTTTTCCCCATTTCCTCCTTTATTAACTGCTGGCATGGGAAACAATCAAATACATATAACTTTCTTCCTACATATCACTTGAAATCATGCTTGAGTTTTCACCAGTTATATAAGTATCTAAAGGAACCCTTTGAAACTGGAGCACTAAAATATTATAATAGTTAGACTGTACAGAATGTACAGTTCTGCACAGAACTCATTAACATTACCTGGGTTTCCACAAAACAATGAGCAGTAGTTTATGAGTGGTTCACTGTGTCAACAATCTGCAACGAGGTAGCTTGTGGTTTGTGTGAACTCAGGGCTCTTAAAATTTAAGGCTGCCCTTAAGTGCTTTTAGAAAAGTAGTTTGTAAAACTTACTGTTCATAAAGAAATATTAACCTTTATTTTCTGAGAAGTCTTCTATTTCAGCCATTCTACGTTTTAAAATGTTTGTAACATTTTCCCCTTCAGTTTCAATGAACTTTAAACAAAGAGCCAAAAAAAGGAATACTTAACTTCTGTATTATTTTTGCTGATAATTGTATTTTGGCATTCAATTTCACTAAAGGATTCCAAGACATGTGTAGGCAAGATAGTCATCTTCTAATACTATAATTTAGGTAAGTGTCATAGATTCAGGCTTGACTCCTGGCAACTGTATGAAGCCATACATATCCACTATCTTAACCTGTTTTAAATTTCACATTCCAATTTAAGAATTACTGTTCTAAAAGAAATACACCCATCTGCTTCCTGTACCTGCCATTTGTCAGAAATGGTGTAGGGGTCTCCTGCTTGAGGGAGGGGTGGGGGTTGGACTAGATGACCCATAAGATCCCTTCCAACTCTGTTAATCTTTAAC